AACCATCCGAACTATATGAATTAAGGAGATTAACAATATTTGTACTCTTTATAAATAGGAACATGTGGACCACTTTAAAATTATTTTGTTTATACATAATACAAGATAATTGAGAAAATAAAATACTAACACTACATACAAATCATACTTCATATAAATAAAGCAAATAACTTTTATCTGTCTTACAAAGCTAATTGACTAGATTCATTTGCATTTGCATACCCTTATAGATATGTTCATCACAATGTGGATACAATGTTTTCATGATATAGAAAAATTAAAAGCTTGAATTAGTATAAGAATGGGTGAAAAAATGGAGTTATAATTTTCTAACATATACTTTTAGCATTGATACTGTCCAAAGTTTTTTTGAGTTTATTATTTTTCTTAAAAGAATGCAGATGGTAAAATAAGAAGATATGTTTTGCACTAAATCTGTAATGTTTATAGGCCAAATAGATAATGTAATCTGACTTTTAACCAATGTCTGATTAATTGTATTTTGTGTTATTTACTCATACAATACTTTACCGTTATCCGTGCATCATCTCGAATATATACTTGTAAATATTTTGAAGATAAGACACAAAAAGTTTACAAGACATGGACATCTTCAACTACGTGGAGATTAAATAGAATAAAGCTACTCTACCAGATACTTCTTACAGAATACCTACAGGGCAATTTAATTAAATAAAAAAAAATTAAAAAAAGAAAGAAAGTCCAACACGGTATCCACTAACATTCATCCCACTAACGTAGATATCCACTACAACACAACTCCAACATTCATGTCATTTCTCACTCTACACCTACATCAAAAATCTTTTTCCCACTCTCTGTCTCTCTCAATTGAACTGGAATTTATTTAAGCAACCGACGGTACCATCGGAGCTCCGGCGTGACCGAATCCTCTCTTCAAATTCAGGTAACCGCCTCAATTTCTTTGTAAACCTATCTTTTCTTTGTAACTGATGTTTTTTGTTCAAACAAATAAGATGTGTATATTCAATTCAAGGCACCGAATAAAATAGATAATTGATGCAAAACTAAGCAAAAATTATCAAGATAAGCACTTGTTAGCTAGAATGCAGAAATTACATAATTTTAGAACCAAGATCTATGAATGCCTTGTTTGTATCTATGAATCCTCTCTGCACAGAAGCTTGTAGTTTGTGCGGTGCTCTCTGTACATTATTTACTTGGCTAGTGTTGTTTTGATTTTTTTTTTCTCTTTTTATGTATTTGCCCAATTTTTCAATTATTTCATTTTTTTTTTATAGTGTGTGTGTGACTGCTAAAATTTTGCTGAAGAATAAAAAAGAAAAATCACCAAGCAAACTTCTATCATTAACAGATTTATTATAGGTTCAAATCACCAAGTTTTTGTTCCTGATACAACTCTTGATTATATTACTTTTTATTCATACTTATGTCAAATGAATAATTGGGTTAATATCGCAGTTCTAATTTGTACATATATTATTTTCATGTGTTTTTTCAGACTAGATTGTTGTATGGAATCCGTGGATTTTGATGAGCGTGTAGAAGCCACTAGTGACAGTGTGATCGAGAATAATGATACGAGTGGTCTAGAATTAATTGAAGATGCCTCAACTGTGCCTAAAACTGGCATGATATTTAATAGCGAAGACGCCATGTGGGATTTCAATAAGCGATATGCATATGGTGTAGGTTTTCCAGTACGGAAGAGAAATTCCAAAAAGGAAAACGGTGCTTTGAGATATGTGACCTTTACTTGTAGCCGAGAGGGAAAAATTAAGACTACTCAAAGTCATCCTCTCAAGAGGCAACCAACTATTCAGTTAAATTGCAAGGCTAGGATATCAGCTTCTTGTGATACTAATGGCCAATGGAGAATTAACAACGTCATCCCAGAACATAATCATAAAACAAGTCCATCCAAGTCGAGGTTATTTCCATGCAATCGAGAGTTGAGTGCATACGTTAAACGAAAGCTTGAAGTAAATGATATGGCGGGAATTCCATTGCATAAAAGCTACAACTCTGCAGTTGTAGAAGCAGGCGGCTATGAAAACTTGACTTTCAGTGAAAAGGATTGTCGAAACTATATTGAACAGGTGAGGCGTTTAAGACTTGGAGAAGGAGATGCAGCGGCAATATTATCATACTTCTCAAATATGCAAGCACGTTGCCCAGGATTTTTCTTTAGTATGGACTTGGATGAAGATTCTCGGCTAAAAAATATATTTTGGGCGGACAATAGGTGCAGAAAAGCGTATCAAGAGTTCGGTGACGTGGTTACATTCGACACGACATACCTCACTAACAAATATGATATGCCATTTGCACCGTTCGTCGGTGTTAATCACCATGGTCAATCAATATTACTTGGTTGCGGATTATTGTCCAATGAAGATACCGATACTTTTGTGTGGTTGTTCAGCACTTGGCTTAAGTGCATGCAAGATAAAGCTCCTATCGGAATAATAACTGACCAAGACAGAGCTATGCAAAATGCGATTGGAATTGTTTTTCCTAATACGCGACATAGATGGTGTCTTTGGCACATTTTGAAAAAGTTGCCTGAAAAATTTGGCTACCATATTGATAAGGGAAAGATTTTTGCCTCTATACATGAACTAGTATATGATTCGCAACATGTTGACGAATTTGAGGCAGGATGGGACGTGATGATTAATAAATATGAATTGCATGAAAATGCGTGGTTATCAGGATTATACGAGAATAGAATGCGTTGGGTTCCTTGCTTCTTGAATATAATTATTGATTGTTGATAGTGTCTTTCAATTCATATTTTATGTTGTTGTTGTA